TCCTATTGCCTTTGCATCTGAAGGACTTTGAAGCCAACGAATTGGATAGTCAAACCTGTAAGCTCCGGATGAAATTTCTTCATCTGATATAGTCCTACCAGCATTTGTAAAGATATAGTCTAACGGTTTTGTATCTGCTACTTTTGTTCTTTGTTTTTCAACCTGAAGCATTTTATATATGTAAAAATATACTGTTTTAAAAACGTTTTAAAATGGTATGCAATGTTTTATTTCATGCAATGTTTTATTTCTGTGCCGTCTTCAAGTATTCCCCAGTATTTCCTTTTCGATATTACATGAACTTCGGAAAATACCTTGTCTAGCTTAAAACAGCCCATCTTTTCACCGACCATACCCATTTCAATGAGTTTGTTGTATCCTTCTTCGTTCGTCATGAGTGCGTCGATGTTCTCATAGTATACCTTCACTTTGGATTTAACTTCCGAGAAGAATTTGTTGTAGTTGTCAAGGACTGCCTTTGCGAACTGAGGGTATGACCAATGTTCGACAATAGGTTTTACTGTGGTTACTAAGCCATTTTGACCTTCGGTGAACTCGTATTTCAAAACAAAAGGAGAAAACCTTTCAACAAAGTTGTCGACCTTCTCATAGTGTTTACTCTTCATCTTTTGAGGTTTCTTAATGGAATATCCCCATGTCGAATTCATAAGCAATTTGAGTGTCATTGCAAGTTTGGGGTTTGAAGCTTTCCTAATATCATACATTTGTTGTATGACTTTTCCAACTGTATAGTTGCTTCCCGGGAACTCACCATCTTCGTTTGGAATTCCAGTCGGGATATATTGGACAAACCTCATGTACGCAGCGTTAAGGTCGACATAGTATATTTTTTCATCTGAGTCGAACTTGTCGCAACCAATCGGCCCAGTTTGTGGAAATTCAAGTGAGTCTCTTATCTTCTGAGAAACTTCGCCTGTTATCTCATAAACATCGTCGAAGCAACCTGTTTCATATAAAACCTTCTGACCTAACTCAGATGCTCTCCAATACAATTTGACGTCGATTGGATGTCTCAATGGAAGTTTGTTTATAGCATCTTGAAGTTCTTGCAACCTCATTGGAAGTTCTTCTGGTTCAGGTTGGTATCCGAACAATCCAACTCCTTTTGGAGCTGTGTACTTCTTTTGTGCTATAACTTTGTCTGGAACAACTTTTGGTCTCACTAACAATGAAAAGTTTGTTTCGTCTTTTGGTACAAAAGTTTCTGTCAGCTTGTCATCTGGAATTGGTTCCAACAAGCCTTTCTCGAAAAGAATGTTAACAGCTCTGACAATGTTGCACTTACCTTTTCCGAACAATGGGTTTGTAAGACTTTCGTTCAACATGAAGTGGTTGTGGACAAGTACAATCTTCAACCATGGCAATTTGAAGTCAACAACATAGTCGTCATGTGAAGAACCTTTCTCAGTCGGAATGTTAACTCGGATATTGACATTTGCCAACGGTGCAACTTTTGTCAATTGACTTCTAAGAATGTACCTTGTTTTCACACATGACTCAAGATACTTCATCTTCTCATCTGTAACAAGACCAGAGTTCCTGAGACATGTAAGAATACAAGGTTCATTGACAATTTTTTCAATTGAATTGTAAATTCCATACCTTGTCAGGTTAATGTCAGACTTATTTCTGAACGGGAAGTATCCAGCATGTTGTCTGACTGCTTGAGGGTTAGGTTGATACCATTCGAACTTCACGCTTGCAATTCCTTCAATTGCATTCAAAATATCTGAGTCGGAGTCAACCATTTGTTCTCTCTTTGTAGTCTTGAAAGCGTCAAGAAGTTTTGCGGCTGTTGTGACATTGCCATGTGCATAGTAAATATGACCATCCAAATCTTTTACGGTTAGTCTGAGATTGTATCCTTTCTTATTTCCGTCTTGAATTGCAGCAAGTACTCCCATGAAGCCTTCTTTGTTCTTTCCTTCGTCAAAGTTTACTGTAAAGGTTCGACCAGATGTAATTTTACTTCTAACCTCACGATACTTCTCATATGCATATCTTGTTCTTTCCATGGGAGCATGTGCGTCTTCACCTTTTCCTTTTTTCCTTCTCAAGGGATGCAATTGTTCGTCATGTTTCCAGTAGAACCTGGCAAAGCCGTCGTGTCCTTCAACTTGAGGCTCATTAACATCGAAAGGCATGTCCATAAGACGTTCTTCTTCTAACCTCTCTAGTCTGTTTGGATAATTGGCACGTGCTGTTTCCAAATCCATTTCGTAGCGAAGACCAGACAGTTTGTCATAGACTTTTATGGGTCTTCCCTTCCTATATTTAAAATTCTTCGAAACTCTCCAACCATATCTTTCTAACTCTGCTTTTATTCTAGCAGACTTTCTATCCATTCTATATGGGGGCATTTTTATAAAAATAAAAAAATGTTTTTTTCTTTACTTTACATAACCACCGGCTACCATAAGTCTTTGACGCCAACCCATACCAGCTAATGAAGGTTGACTTGGTTTAGTTTGGAAACTAAACTTTGGTTTTGGTTTATCTTCAGTTTTTGGTTTTTCTTCTTCTATCGGTTTTTCGTCACTTTTCGGTTCCTCTGACTTTACTTCACTTGCTGGAACAGTTGTGTCGTCAACATCTTCATAAATATCATATGCCATTTGTTTTTGTTTTCCTTTCAACTTTTTGTGTTTGTTGTAAAGTTTAGAATATTTCGACTCTAAGTCAATGAGATGTTCTATAATGAACTGTTGGTCAGTGAAGTAAACTTTTCCATCTGTTGTCTCGAAAGCTCCTTCAGACTTCAATATTTTATTTGTGAGAGTCTGTTTCTTTTTTGAGATACTTGCCGTTCCATTTTTATGAAAAGTGACTTTGTAGTTAGAGTTTGTATTTCCAGACCTGGCACTTTCTATTATTGAATTTTTCTCTTCATCTGTAAGTTCTTTGACAGGTTTTGACAATGGTTCTGAACTTTTTGTTTGTGGTGTCAAATCTACCGTTTCAACTTCTTCGGTCATTTCATCTCAGTAAAAATTTTAGTTTGGTTTGTTTTCAACTGGTTGTTGTTGTTTTTTAAGTCGGTCTAAAACTTCCTGAGGTATAGGAAGAACTTGACAAACACGTGGTGTAACTGCTGGAAGCCGACAAATCCATCTTGAACTCATTTGTCTCAATGCTGTATTGTTCATTTCATCTCAGTAAAAAACTTTACATTCCCCAAGTTTGAGGTGGTTGAGGTTGGTTATTGTTTACCCACTGTTGTGCATGGTTATATCCTCTGTTAAAGAATCTTTCACCTTGGTCCATATAGTGTCCTGCTTGGTTATAGTAGTCATTTGCTTTGTTATAATAGTTTCCTGCTTGTCTTCCTACATTGTCCATCCATCCTTGAACTTTTCCTCTTGTTTCAGGATTTGGAATAAGATTTGTTGCATCTCGTGCTACCTCCCAACCTTTCTGTACAGTTTGTATAATAGGTTGTGCTTTCTCTTTCAGTATACCTAATGTACTCAAAATCTTCCTTCCAACTCCAAATACCCTCTGGCTATGTTCCACTGCGGGCAAAAATCTAGATGCGACTCCTGCTAATGCGCCAAATAAACCCATTTCTTATGGGTTAAAAATGACGAATTCAAAGGACCCCTATGTTTCTAAGGCAACAAAAAAAGCACTCATGATAAAAATCTTTAGTTCAACACCAAATGCTTGGTTTTATGGATATCTTGGAAAACATTCCGAGAGTTAGAGAAGATGGACCACCATACTGGCTAATATTTGTTGGTCAAAACACAAGATACTGTGAAGCCATACCATTATGGTCCAAAAATATTTTAGATGTGAAAACTGCTTTGACAATATTCGTTGACAAATACCATCCAACAAAACTGACATCTGACTGTGAAAGTTCTTTCAAATCAGATGATATTAAAAACTATCTGCGTTCAAAAAATGTAAACCAATATTTCATTGTCGACCAAAACCATTCTGCTCTTGGTGTCATTGACAGTTGTATAAAAATCTTAAGAGACTTAAACCAACCACAAGGTGGTGAAGCAAATGAAATGTCATATGACGACAAGTATAGACACTTCTCCATGGCAAAGATGAGACAAGTTTTAAATATTTACAATAACCGTAAACAAAAAGGTTTGGGAAACCACTCCCCCGAAGAAATGAAAAACAACCCGACTTAGAGAAAGACTATATATTTAATAGTTTAGTCAAAAGAGACAAACAAGAAAGAATGCCGGCTTCAAACTTCAGAAAGGTGACAAAGTAAAAATAGAAATACCTAAACGCGACCCATATGAAAATACTATTGACTATGACAACAATGGGAACTCGACAGGTACTCACATTCATGTTCGTAAAAATAGAAGAAAGTATACAAGAGAATATTATGAAGTTTTAGGCAAACATGGCAAAATGTACAGACTGCAAGCAGAAGATAAAACTACTATTGTCAGACCTCGTTTCAAACTTGTAAGTTCAAGGTGGTATACTTTCAAAGACAGTTCCTAACAAATATAAGACAACTCCTGACGAATATGCTAAAGAAGTTGAAAATGACGACTAAGCATTTCTATACCATGCGTAAACTGTCATGTAAGGTGGCATGTAGTCTTTACTTTGTCCCGTTGTTTGCGTATACCCTGAAACGTGATGTGTATGGTCTCCTTCTCCCCAAGTGTCATCCCAGTAACCATTTATAGCAAACTTAACGTCGTCTTTAACATCATATCCTTTACCTTTTGTCATTCCTGACCAACCCCAATATTTATGCCTATGCAAACCTTCTTGAGATGTACTTAAATTTATGTAGTGACTGTGCGCAGGTAAATTTTCACCCGAAATCGTTTTACTTCCACCTGTTTCCTTTGAAGAGTTTGCACAATACAAAAACCTGTCGACTATTTGAGTCCAAGTTCCGAGACCAAGTACTACTTCTGGTCTGGTAGAGTTCATTGACGTATAAATAGAACCTATAGGATATAGTGTTTGAAGTATTTCTGTCTTTAACGTTTGAAGCTCTGTTTTGTCAGCTTTTTTATCATATAAATCTTGAGCAGTGAATTTAACTTTGTTTTCATCCTCCATGACATAGACATTTCTACATCTAATGTCTTTATCCGATGTTAAACCTTCTGGAAAGTTAGGAGGTTTAAAATATAATCCACCCCCACCAGTTTCTTCAATCGTTCCTAAAATACTTTCTATACCAACAGTTGAGAAGAAGTTATGTGTATGTCCAACGTCACTTTTACTGTTTAAGGTTTCTTGTAAGTTTGTAATATTTGCAATGGTATGTGTATGTCCAACGGCACTTTTACTGTTTAAGGTTTCTTGTAAGTTTGTAATATTTGCAATGGTATGTGTATGTCCAACGTCACTTTTCCTGTTTAAGGTTTCTTGTAAGTTTGTAATATTTGCAATGGTATGTGTATGGTTCTTGTCGGCTTTAAGGGCTAAACATCCTGAAACCCATCCTGTATCGGCTTTAGTTTTTAAAATCTTCGATGTCCGTTCATGGTACCATTCAACCCTTTCTATAATTTCATTGTCTTTTTCATCCACATATTCCTTATCTGCCTTCTTCACTAACGCACTAGCCATACAACCCCTATCTACTTTCTCCTCTAACTCACTGTTGACATATGTTTTGTCAGCTTTCTTTTCAAGGCTAACGTTTAAGTCTGTTATTTCAGATATAGAATGTGTATGTCCAACGTCACTTTTCCTGTTTAAGGTTTCTTGTAAGTTTGTAATATTTGCAATGGTATGTGTATGAGTCTTTTTAGAATATTCGTTTTCAGCTCTTGTCACTTCACTTGACATTTTATTGTCAACATATGTTTTGTCTGCTAGTTCAGGATGAGTATGTTCTTTCGTTGCATATGTTGCATCTGCTCTGTCATGTTCTTCTTGAACTTTTTCAATGACATACTCTTTGTCAGCTTTGTTGTCAACATCTGCTTTCAAAAGAAGTTCTTTTATAGGTTTCTCGTTTAAAGTTCCTTTTGTTGGATTTATACAGACAGTATGGTTCTTACTGTCTTGAAACAGAAACTCGTCTGTCATTGGGTTTAATGTCAGTTTTAAGTTTCCTTCTTTCAATGACTCAGATATCTTAGAATAGTTTGAAAAGTTTGTTGTGTTCTTATTTAGAGCTTGCATAATGAGTTGTCGGTTGTGTTGTATTTCTCTCATAGACGCTGTTTCTTTCGACATTTTTATTCTAGATAAAAATGCTTTCAATAGAAAAAGAAAATTCAAGAGTTGCTACAACTAAACCATTAGATGAACTTTTTACTAACGTAGGTCAAAAGTTTGAGACAGAGACCGTAAAGCATGAAGGCTATCGTTTTGACTACCCATTAAGATGGTTAAGAGACCCATCCGTCACAAAAGCTGTTGGCTTTCGTAGAATGAAGTTCATTTCAGAAGCCATACATGGTTTCCCATTTACGGTCGCTTTTGAAATTCGATACTATAACAAAGAGAAACGTACGTATGAGAAATTTGAACAGGGAAAACTTTTACAAGTTAGTTTGCTTGTAAACTTAGAAACAACTCTTCAAGCTTTTCAAGAAAAAATAAACGATATCTATCTCGAATATGCAAAACAGTACAACATTGACGAAGGAGAGTACCATCTCGATATTTATATGACAGGAAAAATGCAACTGTTAAAATCAATAGAATAGAAGACCTTGGAGAAGACGTTTATATTTCTACAAAATATAACAACTTGGCATGGTATAGATTTTTGAGGATGTTAAATCAGCCTGCAGAATATCCAGTACACCCGGACTTTTATGAAGTCGAAAACCCTAATGGAACATATGAAAATGTTTTCGACTCAGATGCTATTATAGTTCATGCTTCATTTTCTGGTGCACAAAACTCTTTTTTATGCTTGGCAAATGACTTTTACGAAAAACCTACAAAGCTATATGAACCACCGAGTGGAAGTATTTCAGACTTTCAAGTATGGTTTACAACAGATGGAAGAAAGAGAATAGTTCCATTATACCATGCGTTTTACTTAGAACTTAGTCTCATATACAACTACTATCGAACGGTAAAAATATAATTTTAATACGGTTGAGGTGTTGGATTTGGTTGCCAACTAGACTGTGGTGCAGGTTCAGGCTGTTGTATAACAGGAGCTTGTTCTTCTGGTTCAGGGTCTTTAGGTATAATACCAACAAACTGACCTACTCTTTTACCAATATTTTTGACTCCGTTCCAAATTCCTCTTCCTACGGTTTTTATTCCATTCCATATACCTCTTCCAACATTTCGAAAGAAGTTTCCAATACTACTGAAGAAACCCATTTTACTATATGTAAAAATCTAATGTCCACCTAGTCTCTTACGTTTCCTGTTGAGTTCCATTGCATTCTTTAACTGGAGCTCATACATTCTATTTCTCCTCTGGTAGAAAACATACTCTGGGTCAACTCCTGTGTTCGCGTCATCTGCATAGAGTTGTTTATATCCCACTTCAGGGTTTGTATAAAACTCTTTCCATCTCATATTTGCATACCATGGTGGCAAACCTAACGCAGCGTCATTTGACATGGCAGTTTGCATTTGTACATCTGTTGGCACTTGACCATAGTTTGCCATTGCAGTTTGTATTCTAACTTCATTTGGAATATTCTCTGGGTTTGGTTGTCCAGGTTGCTGTGCATTCGCTAAGTTCTGTGCGTCCATTTTAATATTAGATAAAAATATCTCTTACGAGTACATATGCTGAACATTTGCTGGTATTGGTTCATCTTCATATTCTCTATATCTTTTGCCACGTCAAATAAGTAAATGACACAATGGAAAAACCTAAAACAAGTAGTCCTATTTCAAACCACATTTAGTTACCAATAAAATTTCTTTGTTGTGACACTTTTTCCGGTTTATAGGACCTCTCTCATATTCTATCTTATCGTATCTAAACTCATAGTCATGTATATCCTCTAACCATCTCATAACACTTTCCAAACCACTTTTATCGGATGTAAAGTAAAAGCATGGATGGTTATGTAAAACGTCTAAAGTTTCTAAAGAGTCTCTCAAAGTCCAGTCTGCTTGGTATTGAAAATCGTATGTGTTATAGAACGGCGGGTCTACTATAAAGAAAACATTTTCCTTGTCTTTGTATTTTTCATACAACTCTGTCCAACGACATCTCACAAACTCTATACCCTCAGTATATTTTTCTATGTCCTCTTTGAAAACCTTTGTATAGTTAAGATATAAAACTTTTGACATAAGTGTTTCAATGTCATGAACTCTTATAGAACCACTATATAATAGTCTAGCAGATATACTATCCCAGTCAATATATTCTGCTTTTTTCAAAACCTCTCTTACAATATTTTTCTTATCTAATGGTATACTTTCCATCTTACCTATAGGTATCTTTTCTTTCAACTCACTCAATATTTTGTTTGTGTCTGGTATATGTTTGAGACGGTTCATATAGTTGTCGAAGTCATTGCATATAATCTTTGAGTTTGGGAATACGGTATGGCACAAATGAGATATATAGAAACTTCCACCGAACAAATCTACAAATGTTAGACCATTCGGTAGTTTCTTAAGTTCTCTCAATAGAATATCTTTACATTTACTCTTATTTCCAAAGAAGGGTAACGGTGGTTTTGTAAAATTCATTTTATATATATAATAAAAATGTTTTTTCCTGAAAAGTGACAGAAAAGTGACTGGGGCTAGAGGGCACGAAGTGCCTGGAAGCCCCACTACCTTTTTTTTATACATTTACTTTAATTAATATTTAAAAACGTGCTCTATCAAAAGTTCCAAAAATTCAATATTTTAGCTTTTCTGAGGTGTCACTTTTGACGAATTTCTGTTTACAACATTATGACTTTGCTTCTAAATTCTACGAACCATCTAGTAACAGTTTCTCTGACTTTCAAGTTTGGTTCACAACAAATGGTGTGCAACATATTATTCCATTGTACTATGACTTTTATCTCGAATTGTCTTTCATATATAACTACGGAAAAGTGCTGAAAAAGTATTGAATGTGAAGATATTAGAAAATAACATTTTTTCTAATATCGTAGAAAACTCATGAAAACAATTTATTTTTGACACTTTCACAAAAAACATAAAAAAGTGAGTTAAAATGAGATGTTTACTGAACTGGTTGGATGTCGCCTTCACAGGTTATGTAGAATGGTTGACCCGAGAAGTGAAGGAGACCCTTGAGAATTTGGTTCATTCTTGGGAAAGGGTTCTCTCTGTTTGGAAGTAGTATCCAAGGACGCTTGGCAAAGAACTTTATAATGGCTTCCTTCTTTGCTTGCTTTATGTCGTCGTAGGCTGTCCCGTCTGGTATTTGAATTGGAATTCCAGTCGAAGTCTCGAGATTCAAGGCAGCCCTTCCCGTTATCCAACCGTTAACAAGCTTGCCTTTTACATTCTGCCTGAGGAAGTCTTTAACAAGCTCGTTAATTTCAATTAGGTAAATTGCCTCGTCGGTAGGTTCGACCTCGACCATTGCTACTGTCAGAAAAAGTACTGCTACTGTCAGTAAAAGTACTGCTACTGTCAGAAAAAGTACTGCTACTGTCAGAAAAAGTACTGCTACTGTCAGTAAAAGTACTGCTACTGTCAGAAAAAGTACTGCTACTGTCAGTAAAAGTACTGCTAGTAGCAGAGATTTTTATCGTTGTGGTCCGACGGTTAAGCCACAAACGAATGTCCGACGTCCCACCAACCGAGTTCATTCCCAAACCAGAGGAACCTAAAGAACCACAACAGTCTCCTCAGCAACCTCAGTTCCAGCAAGTACCTCCGAATTACTACCAATTTCCACCTCAAGGTTACTACCCACCACAAGGCTTCCCGAACTACCCTCCTCAGCCTATGCCTTACTGCCCCAACCCTTGGATGTTCCAGCAAGCTCCACCCCAGCAATTCCAATCTCAGTCCAAGAGAGACCAAGACTTCGAAGAAGGTCTGAACCGCTTACGCAAAGAGTATGCTACAGCTCCAATTGAGAGAAAGTTGTTCCCGGACCAAAAAATATAATTTAGGTGAAGAGGTGAGATTTCACCTCTTTTTTCACCTGTTTTTTCACCCTCTTGAATTTTCATGAATTTTATATATTAATGTTTTCGTTAAGCCACTTTGTGCCGTCAGTCAGTCAGTTTAGGAAAGACTTTAGAAAGTTGTTGGAAAATAAGTCCTGGGAAGAGTATTATAAGGCATTTTGTGAAGAAATAGCAACCGCCGGAATTCAGACGGTTGCTTTTTATACAAAATTCATGCAGGAAATTCTTGAGTTTTGGTTGAAAGAATATGGTGGAGCCAAAAGTGGCTCGACCTCAAAACAAGCATTTTATGAGCTTACTAAGGGCGTTATGAATGAATTCAAAGGTATTTACATACATCCTGACCTCGTTCATTTTGTTGCTGAATTCAGCAAAAATATAATTTAGGTGAAGAGGTGAGATTTCACCTGTTTTTTCACCTTTTTTTTCACCCTCTTGAATTTTCATGAATTTCCTTAAGATAGAAAAAATAAAGTTAGTTTTATTTTTATTTATTTTTTTATTTTGTATAAAAGAACAGAAATGTCAACAATCGGCACAACAACAATTCAAACAACTACAGCACCAAACTCGTTAGTCATGAATCCAACATCTATGTTAGTAGAAATGAAAAGCTTCATTCCTTCTTCATATACTTTCGAAACAGAAATCCAGAAGATAAAGCAGGAACTTTTAACAAGTAATTTAGACTGTAGTGCGAAAGATGAAACAAATGAAGAATATCTTTATGAAATGCAGGACATTATTGACCATTTACCCAAATTGCCTGAAATCCAACAACAAAAGCTCACTATTCCTGAATTCGATGAAATTGAAGTCAAAGCAACTGACTCAGTAGAAATAAAGAAGTTCATACGAAAGGTAAATTATGAATTCCTTGGTTTTCATTGCAACCATAAAGTTATGGACAAAGATTGCGACATGGTATATAAGAACATCTCTGACATATATAAATCTGGGGAGTTTAAGACATACGACAACTTTGTTTCATTAGCTGCAAAATGTGTATGGCAGATAAGAGATAAAGATAGAAGAGGTAAGGTATGGAATGAACAGATAAAACCAACTGCTTCAGATTTAAAGAAAACCATTGACGCCTTGGTTGTTTTAGCAGGTAAGGTTTCAGAATATAACGCAAAAATGAACCCGCAATGTTCTAAATGTAAAGCGGCAATGAGGAGATATAACTACTCCGTCAAAGAGATAGAAAGAATGAGAAACGACTATGCAGATTTAAAGAAAGAAGCAGAGAAGCCGGTAGAAGATAAAATGAACATGTTAGAATTTCTGAACAAAAACTATCCAACTGCTGACGATTTCCTTCTATCTGATGTCAAGAAGAAGTATAAAGAAACCTTCGGCATTGTTAAAACATTCGATGTACTAAAAGAAGAAATAGAAGCTACAAAACTGTTTAGGATTTCAAATATACATCGTACAATTCATGTAAAACGCTTATAAAATAACTGGGGTGAAAAATTAGGTGAAAAAAGAGGTGAAATCTCACCTCTTCACCTAAAATATATTTTTATTGAATTCAGCAACAAAATTCTGAGTAAAATAGCATATGGCTTGTGTCAAACCGTTGGGTTTTCAAAAAATTCCAAAAATAACGTTTACCATGTGAAACGTTTATAAAATAACTGGGGTAGAAATGAGGTGAAAAAGAGGTGAAATCTCACCTCTTCACCTAAACATTATTTTTATTGAATTCAGCAACAAAAATCATGAATTTCCTTAAGATAGAAAAATAAAGTTAGTTTTATTTTTATTTATTTATTTATTTTGTATGTAAAGACAGATATGTCAAACATTGAGTTTGAAACAGTTAGAAAGATAGACAATGACACCAAAGTGGTTAGAATAGGTGATTTAAACGTAAGATACTCAAAGAAATACAACAAATATTCTTTGTCAGACATTATAACACCATCTGGAAAGAAAACAAAGGACTGGGTTAGAATTGCTTCTACTCAGAAAATTTTGACAAGAAATCCTGAGCTTATGATATCGGTAAAATTCTATGGAACTACAGCATATCTCATCGACAAAAGTCTTATACCAATAGTTTTGTTATGGTTAGACCCCAGTTGTTGGATATAACTTCATAACATATGGTTCATTCGATACGGAACGTTGCAGTGAAGGCTTACTTTACATCGTTCAGAAACCGAAGGACTTCAATACAAAGAGATATAAGATAGGAAGAACATATAATATAACTCAAAGATATGACAGTACAGTCAATAGAGTCAAGGTTGTGTTTGTTAATGATATGAGAGCTGCAGAAACAGAACTACTTGAAAAGTTTGAGAAAATGTATGGTGCTCCCATAAAAGGTAAAGAAACGTTTGAAGTAGATGAGATAGATAAAGCTATAAAATTATTTGACGAAGTTGCTGAAAAATACATGTAAAGCGTTTATTTTTGGTCTTTTGTGAAAGTCAGAAAATAACGCTAATTTTTTTCTAACAATTTTTTTTATTTTGTATGTAAAGACAGATATGTCAACAACAGAGAACACAACAACAGTTATAGTCCATGAAGCTATAAATGAAGAATACGAGTACATACAGTTTAACAAACAGTTACGTCTCATTCGTTCGGTCAAAGACGATATGTACCAAATGCAAAGTATTTTGACAGCATGTTATGCTCCAGATACTAAGCTTCCTAAAGACTGGTTTAGGAACCAAAGCACACAAGAACTTTTGAGCGAAGCACAGCGAGACATACTTTTTTCTGAAAACAGTGAAGAACAGCGAGTAGTTAAAAAACCCCAGTCGCCAAAACTCTATGAAAATCGTGAAAAATTGCCAAACGGTTTGAGAGGATATTATGTACATAGACTTCTTGTAAATGCTGTTGCAATGTGGGCTTCGCCTCGTTATGCTTGGTATATTACAGACTTCTTGACGAAATTCATAGACAAGAACGTGAAGAGATGGAAAACAAGCTTGAAGCAAAAGACAAAAGCATATAGAAAAGAATACCACGTTCGGTACCAAAAGGAAAGGAAAAGAACTATAAGTATATGATTTATACTGAAGAGATGGAAAATGAAAAAGATAAAGATATGGTTATGTTGCATTTAGTCAGAAGAAACAACAAAAGCTTTTACGACCTTGCTAAGATTTACAAATCTGACAGAAATTGGTTCTATCGCGAAAACTTACCGATTTCAATGACACCGAATGAAGATGTTAAACAGATAGTTCAAGATACGTTACCTCAAACACACTATGATATGAAAGGTTGTACAATACTTACATTCAAAGAAGACTTACCGCTACTGAAGGAAAAGATAACAGAGTATTTCGATAACTTCAAACAAGCAGAGTAAATGAACTCTTTATTTTTATTGACTTTTTACAATTTGAACTTTGTTTGCGTAGATATGAATTCTGAAAGAAGTATGAGGGTCTTGTATGACTTTGTACTTCTCCCATAGTTCATGTCTGTCAAACTTACCTGCCATGGACTCTTTCATAAGTTCCATGAAATCGTCTTCGGACAATCCGGGGAAAAGTATTATGTCAGTAAGTATTCTTTTAACATCCTTACTTAAACTCTTGGCTGTCTGTACACATATTACGACTGAGATGTTAAAGTGTCTGAGCTTCTTAAGAATTCGACACATGTCTTGTTCTCTGTTCTTTAACAAAGGATGAGAAGCAAAGTCATCTAAGATAAGAAGACATCTGTGAGGGTAAGTCTTCCAATCGTAAGATTGCAATTTCTTCGAAATGTATTCTATCTCTTTCTGTTTGTTTCTGAAGTGTTTCTTCTCTAATATTCTCTGCATTTCCTCATTTGGGTCTTTAAACTTAGAATTTATATACTCATTTATAGCATTATACTTCAAAACTCTTCTTTGGTACTTCTTTATCCAATCTAACAACTCAGTATCCTTTATACATACTAACTTAGACTTCTTTATAATATCTTTGAACGAATTGACGGTTTGGTCAAATTGACCAGAAGTCGAACAAATAAACAACTAACTCATAGAATGGGTTCTTCTCATCTAGTTCTTGTTGTTGTGCAGCCATTTAAGATAAGTGAAAGTCTTACCCGACCCAGGTGGTGCAATTAGACCTGTTATACCATTCTGAGCAAATAAGAACTTGTCATGTATAGGCTTTATCTGAGCATTTTCTAAGTTCCTCTTGTTCTTGTTTAAAACATTCTCAAATTTTTGTCAATGTCAGCAAACTTTTTTTCTAACATATTTTTAGAAAAATTAAAATTTTTATCTTTTAGAAAATGTCTAGCGATTTCGCTATCTATATTCGAGACAAGCTTTTCGACAGCAAAACATCTGTCGACCATAAAATCTTACATAGTGTAAACAAGAAAGGGGAATTTGTTCTAAAGTTCTGTTTCTGGGAATATGACAAGAACCATAAAAACATTAAGCAGAGCAGTCTTAAAATTTGTCAATGACAGACTTGTTGACAGAGATGACACCGATTGGAAAGATGAAGTCCAACAAAAGTTTCTTAGAATGCAAAGAAGACACATGCGCTGTTCTTGAAGATGAAATAGAAACAGAATAGATGAGCTATTAAAGGACAAAGAACTTTTACATAAATATGGTTGCGCCAAATTTGACATAACTCCACCAGAAAAGAAGAAGAAAGAAAAGAAAGAGAAAAAGTAGAAGAGAAGAAAGAACCTGAACCAGTTCCAGAGAAAAAGAAATTTGACATGTAAAAATAAAATTTTATTTTTAGAACATTTCTGGGTCAATGTCAATGTTCTCTTCCTCTTTAGGAGTAAACACTGGCTTAGACTCTAAAATCTTTTTACCCAATTTACCTTGAACTTCTACAACTTTAGACTCATAATATTCATAGTCGTCTGTCTTCTTTGGTTCATAAGGTATAACAAGTTTGTATGCTTTGCCTTCTTTAAGGTTTGAGAACCTTCTGTCAAAACTTTCTTTGACTGTTAACAAACCTTCTATGTCTAAGTCTTCAAATTTCGCACCATTTTTAGTCACAATAGCAAACTTAACTGGTTCGATGTTCCAAACTTTGCTGAATGAAGACTTTTCAAAATGGTAGAAGTAAACATTCAAATATGTGAATGGGTCTAGTTCTTCTTTAAGTCCTGACATGTACTTGTTTACTGAGATGAATTTCGTCATCTTTTCTATCGGATAAAAAAATATTTTTTTAAAATTTACTCAGAAAAAATTTTCTTTGTATATACACCATTCTGAACATCTAAAAGACTTTTGACATTTGCCAAGAATGTTCGTTTAGAAGCTGCCATATAACCATATTCTTGACAATATTGTTTATACGAATCGTACAATGACCTTTCATCTAATGACACAAAGTCAGTTTCATCTATGAACAGTTCATATACACTCTTGTTTGCTTCTAACAATGTTTGTCTCTCTTCTGTATGTGGAATTTGTCTTGGATTGAACTTAGAAATATCTAATGTCATGAAATATGAGAACAAGTGGTTGTAAAAGTCAGATGTCAACGTTTCTGCTAAGTCGTCAAAATATTCTGTATCTTGCATATGAGTATCTGACGTTCTGACAACTACATATCTTCTGTCAGAACTTTCTAACTTCATCGGAACAGCATTGTTTGAAACCATAATGAAGTTTGCAACATTTTCACAAACTCTTTGGTCTTTATACTTTCTTTCAACAACTCCAACTTTGTCTGTTATAAGACTCTTCAAAGCATCTGAGTTCAAAACTTTTGTTGTATCTATACTTTGAAGTTCATTGCAAACTATAAGTTTCATATTCTCTATTGAGGAGTTAAACTTGCCACAGATGTTTTCTAAGTTTGTCATATTCGGATTCGAATAACCTTCTAAGAGTTTTGCACAAAATATCTGTAAAGAAAGTATTCTTACCAGTTCCTTGTTTTCCAATTATAATGAGAGCAGTTTCATTTTTAGCACTTGGATGTTGTAAGATGTTTGCAAACCAACATAAGATATACTCATAAACCTTTTCGTTTCCATTGCATATAATTTCTTTGACATGGTCTAACCAAGCTTCTATAATATTTTCTTTCCATTCTACTTGTTCATATTTATATCCAGTGAAGATAGAATAGAAGTTTGGAGAAGGTGTATAAAACTTTATACCACGAACTGAAAAATCTTCAAGTTTTGACAATAAGATATCCCAAGCATCTAACATCTTCATTCCAACTTGTACAAATTTTATTTTCTTAAGTTTCTGTCTACATTCTTGTTCAGACACTATTGTTGCTCTTGGTTTGTTAAAGACAACATCCCATTCTTTATGACATAACATTCTGGGGCAGAGTCAACATAAATGACTAAACGTTTCAAATTCTCGACTGCTTTGTTATAGTCTCTAAATGGACACATATTTCTGAATGCTTGGAAGTCATAAAAATCTGAAACATCTATTCTGTACATTTTTATAAAAATAAAAAATATTATTTTTTTATTCTTGACTTTGTTGTTCCATTTGTTGCATTTGTTGTTCTTGAGCTATTTGTTGTTGAAGTTGTTCTTGTAATACAATACTTTCACCAGTTGCATCTTCCAATTCGAAACTTTCTGCCGTCATTGACAAATACATAGGACATAAAAGTTTTACAGGAACAAAGTTTGCGTCAACTAATGTCAACGTTATACTTGCCAAAGTGTTTGAGTTCACTAAGGTTGAAAATTCTGCATTCGAATGAACAATAGGCAAACCAGCAGAGAAAGTATTGTTTATACGCATAAGTATCTTTTGGTCATAATAGTTTCTGTCGACATTCGAATAACACTTTGAACCTAAGTTTGAAACAATATATAAGATTGGTGTGCTTAATGTCAATGGAATAGACATTCCTTGTATGACACCTTTTCTGTTATAGGAAACTTTGGTAGTAAAAACCAGATATAAGTTTTGTATTATAGCTCATATCATTAATAGTAAACTCAGTCGGACATCCAAACATAATGAAACCTGCTCTAGTTGCAGCACATGTTACACCTGTACTTAAAGTATTAAATAAGTCCAACAAAACTGTTGGTGGTATATCTGAGTAAGTATCTTCAAAGGAGTATTTTTTACCATTCACAACAATAAAGTCTTCTGGTGTCAAAAGAGCAAAACAGGCTTTAGTCGTCATTGTGTTTAAGGTTAGTTTACAATATCGTCCTTGAGGACTTTGTAAGTTTGTTGTTATAGAATTATATGACTCAGGGTTTTAGTCGTAATAGTATAAACCATTATGTCTTCTGCCATTTACTTAGCAAATAAACTTTAATGAAATGTTGTGGTCGTCAAATATTTTTATAACGTCTGGGAAACTATATTTTAAGTTCAACGTTTCACCTCCTTTCATAACGTATATTTGTCAATGACATTATATGAAACACCACAGCAACTAATGTCGGGTTCTATTTCTTTGATGTTTTATCGTCTGCCTCTGTCAAAAGTTTCAATAGTTCTTTCAAAATTTCATGAGGTGCAATGACATATGAGTTCACTTTTACAGGGTTGTGTTCGACCAAGTTTAACATTATACTTAAAGCTTGGACAAATCTTTTCCTGAGTTTGAAGTTTGTCTTTCAAGTTGTTGGTAGTCGTTTCGAATATCTGCAACAGAACTTAAGTCTCTGCTAACTTCAGGATATGTTTGGTTCTTTTACAGGAACAATTGTTATACCATCTTCGTCTTCGTATGGTTTCCCCACTTCAAACATCTCTGTCTTTGACATTGACAACAAACTTTGACTGTTTGTTTGAGTTGGTGAATTTAACTTCACATCTGCCACCGCCATTAAACCTTTTTGAAACACATACGCTTCTATTTTTCGGAAATGACATTTTATTAGAATAAAAAGATGGACGTATTCGGATATCTTATTGAATTGAAGCAGAACAAAGTTTATACTCACAAACAATACAAATACATTGACAGAATAGTTCTTTACACAAAACAATGGAAAATGTTAATAGAATAGCAATATTTGCTGAACCTAAAATATTTTCATAAAGCAAAGAAAGTTGGTATAACTGAAATGGTGAAAGTTCTTGAAGCAGACAAAAATATAACTTCAAAACTGACCGATATTACTAAGGAAAGTTTATAATACAATATTATGTCAAAACTGGCGTACTGTCAATATTTGACGGAGAGAAGTCAGTTCAAGAACAAATTACTGACCTGCTGCCAAAATCTGCTCGATGGAAGCTGTCGTTATGCCAATCTGAGGAGCCCCAGCAGGTTTCATCGAACGAATCTTCAAAGAGCATCTTCCGTGAAAAGTGCTATTGGTTTTGTAAACTTCTTTGCTCTCAATTCATCTGGACCGTCTCCTGTCACCAGTATATTGTATTTGAACTGTACCAGTTGAAATACCACCCATAAAGTCTTCTGAGTCAGCAAATGGAATGCCAAGCCAAAAGTTTGAACGGTCTCCATTGTATATTGAGTTTTTTTGACCTCCTGTATGAGTCCATACTTTCACATATGGCATAATAGAACTTTGCATTTCAGGGTTAATGGTTGTTGTGAAGTTGTTGTTAAAGTTCATAGCATCTAATGTCAAGTTGTATGACCTCATATCCTCAACTGTAGAATATTCTTCTCTTGGATAATATTTGCCATCTATGTTTATATGATATTTAATACCGGGTTGTAGAAACAAGAATAGTCATTTATATGTTCGTCTGAACAGTACAAACATAGTATCTGCATGTTTCATTGCAGTTGTTAAAGCAATATCTGTTCTTGCACCTGGGTCAGCACTTTGGTTTCCAACTTCACCTGCAAAAGTCTTTGACAGATATTGGTGTATAGGGAAATAAGTGGAACTGCAATATATTTGGCAGCTAAAGCATTTGAAATATCTGGGTCAACATATAACGGCAAGTCTGCTTTCTATTCTCGCATTCAAACTGTCGCATGTGAACTTAACTGGGTCCCAAGCATCTCCAGCAGCATTGAATAATAGTTTACTTCAGTGTTGAGGTTTGAGAAACCAAAGTCTAAGTCAACCTTGCCTTTGCAAAAGTCACAGAACTTGGCTTCCACCAGTTCAGCTACAGTATGCTGAATGGGTCTTGTGTTGGTGCAATGACTAAGTTATTTTTGCTTGGAGTAAGTTCGATAGAAATTTTTCCTGCCCAGTTTGGCAAGTATCTTAAAACCTGAAGATGAGGAAAGATGACAAAGGAACTCTAAGTTTCAGTTTTACTTTGGTACTGCTGCTGCAGTTTGTCCAGAAAGGTTAACATAAACTCCTGGAACGTTAGGGTCAAGTCTTCTTATTTTCTCAATAGTTGCATACTGGTCTGTTTGTTCTCTAGCTTGTGGTTGTACTGAGTTTCTCAAAGCGAACCATTCATAGTTTGCCCATGTTACTGTTTGAACTAAGTCAGAGTTAGAATATATCTTATATCCCATGAAAACTTCTGGAGCATATTGGTATCCGACATAGAAAATTCCATTGCAACCTTTCTTGTCAGACAACTTGGCAGAAGGTTTTATTTCAATGTCTTGTCCACGTATAAGAATGAGTTGTCAATAGAAATAATATGAAACCTGTCGCAAGCAATATCTACTGTTGTTGAAGAACCTTCTCCAAACTCACCTACGTTTCCATAAGAAACAGCAGTTGTATATTCGTAAGTTCCAGGAACTATTTCTGACCTTCTAATGGCATTGTCGCATTCGTTATACCATTCGGAAACATTTCCATTCATAGCATCCAAAACTGTTGGCGTTATATTCTGAGCGGCGTACATTCATATGGGTAAAAATATAGAATAGTTGGATTTATATGTCATAATAGAACCCACGTGGACCAAGCTTTACTTTCTTCTGACTGAGTTTTTAACTCTTCTTTTTCCTTCATTGCCACTACTTTCACTAGATGAAGTTACTTCTTCACTACTTTCACTTTGTTCTACTCTTCTCTTCTTCTTTGGTGTCGCTTTGGTAACTTGCCCTCTGCTTCAAGTTGTTGCATCTTTGCCTCATGTTCATCTAGTATGTTGTAAATTTCCCATGTCCTTTTTGCCTTTGGGCTCTGGTCGCCATCTCAGGTAACCTATATCCTAGAAAGAGTTTGTCATAGTTTGTATTTGAGTCTTCGCGTATTGTTTGCATGACTCTTTCCTGAGTTTCCGGTTCAAGCTCTTCAAACAGAGCTTGTCCATATGGAATAAGCTCGTTTCCAAATATATGTTTTTGTAGCCATTCTGGTTTTCTTTCCATGTTACCAATAATATCTTTTGTGAATGGGAAAGCTTTTACCCAACGTTTCAGTCTTACGTCATTTATTTCTGTAGTTGGTTTTATTTTGTCAAGGAACATGTTTTTCAATACTAACATTTCATTTGGTACTGTCCATTGAGTTTTCTTAAATATTCATCCCTTCTCAGTTCATTGTCTGCAAAGTAAGTTTTTATGACATTTTGCAAACTTTCGTTTGCAAGGTCATGTACAATAGGTTCTCTTCCTTCTCTCTCCCTAACTTTCTTTCTAAACTCTTCACCAAATATACCATCTCTATGGTTCTGTGTAGTTCTTTGAGATAAATGTTCTAGAACGTCAGGTGTTATATTTCCATCAGCCATGTTCATTTCATACTGGTCCAAAATATCTGCATGTTTCATATCTTTCAATGGCATTAAAGCCGCGCTGAAAATACCAGCTATATCTGGTTCACCATTCACTTCCATTGCGTCTACAACTTCTTGGAATTGAGGTTGTAAGTTTATGAACCACCTATCCGGATTAGCTTTATGACCCCATCTCATTGTAGTTCCATAGTCTGCAGAAACAAAAGTAGGTTTGTTTCCATATTGGTTAGGTTCTGAATGAACTTTAAACAATGTTTCATTTCTATATGTTTTGTTGAAATTTAACCTTTTATTTTCACCGAGTTCAGCCAAAGATTGAACGTTATATGGTCGTAAGTAAAAAGGGTTATTGTATTTGCGTACATTATCTTTCAGTACTTCCATTCTATGCTGAATATTTTCATCTGATGTTGGAGTCTTTTGTATGTCGGCGAACATTTTTCGATATTCTTCTACTATGTCAGCCGAATTTTTCTTAGACTCTTGGAAAGATTCCATATTCTCCACATACACTTGTTGAGGGTCAAGATTTTTCGGCTGTTCCAAATCTTCATCTAGTTCTGTGAAGTTAGTTTCCAAAGGAGGGACTTGTTCGTTTCCTTCAGGCTCTTCTAGCTGTTGTTGCTGAACTATTTCTTCCATGTCTGTTGTATCTGAACTTCTTCCTGTTGAGTTTCTTGTACCTCATCTGCTGGCATTTCATATATTCCGAGACCGTTTTTAACAAGTTCCCTATCTAAGTCATCCGGACTCATAAACCTTTCTTCTTTCGTTCCGTCTCTATTTTTTACGCGTTTCATGAAGAGAGTTGAATTATCATTTAGCTCTGACACCAAATATCTCGGAGTAAATTCATTCATGTCATTTGGATGATATGCTATTAAATCATATCCCTTAGCGAGCTTGTATTTTCCAGGTTTGAGATTATATCCCATTTGGTGCTGAACCATAAAGCTAAATAGGTTCGGGTCAGTATTTCCTTCCTTGAACTTTCTAATAGCTTCTTTATATCTGTCACTAAAGTCAAGAGTATCTGGGTAACCATAATCTTCCTTAAGCATTTTTAAGAATTCTTGGTTTCCTTGTTCTCTACTTCTTTTATGTCCTTGCTCTGTTTGTGGTTGTTGTTGTGCAGGGTTTTGAACTGTTGGTTGCTGTGCTGGTTGTGGAGGTGGTTGTTGTGCAGGGTTTTGAACTGTTGGTTGTTGTGCTGGATTTTGAACTGTTGGTTGTTGTGCAGGGTTTTGAACTGTTGGTTGTTGTGTTGGTTGTTGTTGTTGTGCTGGATTTTGAACTGTTGGTTGTTGTGTTGGTTTTGGTGCATGCCTGTGTCTGTGTCCATGTGACGATGTAAATGTTTTAGGTAGTCCTGGTGCAGGTGCTTCTCTTGGAGGGTTTGGTGGTATATAAGTTCCACCAGCTGGCACATATGTTCCATCTGCAGCATAATGTCCTACCTGACTTTTCGTTTTAAGAAAGCATTTACTAGGTCTGTTTTGGTCTGTTGTAACTCTTTTTCTTGACTTTCCACAACAGTTGCTCTAACGGCGTCATAGGCACTTTGAACTGCCTGTCTCGTTGCTGCATCTGTTATTTTCGTCATATTTTGTGCTACTTCTCTTAACTCTTTGTCGAAACCTTCAGACTTCAGTTTCTTTCCAGATGAGAAGTCGTTCACTAGTTTCACCTTACTATGAAGAGCTTCGAAGGCATTCTTAAAGTCAGCATTCATTAAAGCTTCATTTGAACTGTCTTCATCCGCTTGTATTTTTGTCCTTATTGACCCTATAAGTTGGGCTGCTTTGGCGTTGGCTTGGGCATCTAACCAGTCATTATTAGCTTTTATATATTCTGCGCTTTTCATTGCCTTTGCATGGCTGCGTCGTTTTTTACTTTCTTGTGCTAAGTTTTCATACTGTACGGTTTGGTTCTGCAACTGTAAAAGTTTTTCTGCCTTTACATTTGCTTCAACTTCTTTTTTATACTCATCGCTATCCATATATGTCTTCAGGGCTTTTGTTTTATCTCTTCATCTTTCAGTACTTTATATTGAGTAGTATGGTTTTTCAAATTTATAACATCTTGTTCCATTTTTGCTACTTCTGCTGCTTTTTCTGACACTTTTTTCGCATATTCCTCTGTACTTAGTTCTTTCAGTTGTTCTTCTTTCTTCTTTTTCTCTACGTTTAACTCATTGAGTTTCTTTGTGTGTCTGTCATATTCTAGTTTCTTTTCGTTTTCACTTATTTGTTTCTGTATGTCTATGTTTGACTTTTTGACATCTGTTATTTGATTTTTGAGTGAACTCAAATTCATTTGACTTTGAGGGTTATAAGCTGTTCCGTCTGCAGCTCCACCATAGCCTGCCATTTTCGCTAAAAGTGCCGCTCTTAAACCTCCACTCTGTGCACCAAGAACTCGGTTTAAAAGCATAGGGTTGCTTGACATTTGTTGCAACATAGTGGGGTCATTCAGCATTTGTTGTTGCAACTGTTGTTGTGGTGTCAGTTTTACTATTGGATGTTTCAATGCTCCCTTCCTCTTACGTATATTCTTACGTAGCTTACGTGGCATTTTAAGTGAAGTAAAAAACGGTTTTTGACGGATGTTTATATGACACTTTTTGTTCATCACAAAAAACTACTCGGTCAAAGTGTTGTCAGTTTTGTAAAATAACCGTCCTATCTTGTTTTAAAAGGGGGAAAAGGCTTCTCAAAGTATACTTCCTTGGAACGCCTGTAACTTTTCCTGTAGCGACGATAGACCCTTACTTGTCCGGACAAAGTTATACTATTTTGAGTGCTCTACAAAAAAGTCAACGGCTGGTCGGCTGGGGTTCGGTCCTCCTCTTGGGTCTTGGGAAAAATTTCTTATGGGCTAGAGGGCGCAACGCGCCTGGAAGCCCCACTACCTTTTTTTTATATTATAACACTTTTAATAATTCATGCTGGATGCATGAGCTTGTGGAGTAATTTATTTGATTTTTACTTATATTCAGATTAATTTTTCGTATCATACAGCATTTTAAAAAGGTACATTCACTAGGCGATAACAGTAAAATGGGATGAAAATAGGATAAATAGCATCCCTATATAGTGCCTAACAATATTTATACGGGCCAAAAAAAATTTGGCTAGAGATTTGGCGAGTTATAAAACTTAGAAAATTGAGAGGGATTTTTATTTTTGAATTTTTTTTGGAAAGTTAAAATTGCGATTAAAAATCGATTTCCAGGAGAACTAAGCATTTCATCATATATTTAAATCGATAAAAATATTAAATAATAGTTGAATAGTATAATAACGTGAAATTATGGCTGAATCTACAGAAAAAATGAACATATTTGACATTTTTGAAAATTCATACGTTAGATGGTGACAGACTCATAAACTATACTTTAGCTAAGATTGATATATGGTTTCAACAACACATGGTTAAAATCGTAAAAATATTTTAGATTTCAAAAAGATATATATGGTAATATAATGGAACAAAGTCAACAAATAGCATGTTAAATATGTTATAATTAACTTTTTATTAGATCCAATAGTAGATATCGAATGGTTTCCAGCTTTATGGTTAAATATTTTCTTTTCGAGCTTCTCTTTAACTGTTGTATTAAGGTTGTAAATTTTTGATGCTAGAAACTATGGAATCTTCTTTGCTGCTGCATTTTTCTTGAGAGTTCTTGCAATTTCGAATAGATCTGCGCATTGTATGAAATTGAGGCTTTAAAATATCTTGAAAACAGAATAGGACTGCTTTTCCAAAGGAATGCTTACTTGTAAATCAGAGAGTTTCAAAATTGAGAGCAAGATTATCATCATAACTTTCGATTTTGCTGCGAAAAAGGAAGACAAGTAATTAACAAATCATTTACTGTTGTTCATCAAAAGAAGAAAACTTTGATAACAACTAATGATGATAAAATCAAGCTATCTTTTAATATTTTAAATTGATAAGACATTCAAAATATTTGAATGGTTTAAAATATTTTCTTTTAATTTCTATAAGATATTATCATGATTATATAATAAAATTTAAATTTTTATTCAAAAAGGCAATATTTCAAACTTTTAATTTCAAAAATCTTAATTCTGCAATAAGTGTATTTAATTGTAGCAAATTTAATGATCCTTCGTCGTGCTTAGCAATTTGGAACTCATAAATTAATGATTCTTCAAGTAAAATTCTGCATTATTTCAAAAGTCAATAATTCTCTAGTAACTTTTCTTCAAACCCTAACCATTATATTATATGTATAATGGAGAATAATTGCAAAGAAAGATAGCCGAATTTACTGGGTAGTTCTTGTGATGCGAAATAATTGCAAATTAACACCTAGTTTTAACAGCATCAATCTCTTTTTGCTCTCATTTAAATGCATTCACACACTTTAATTTTGAAATATAAGAGTTTTGGAAATTATCAAATTTATCTGCTCAAATACTATAGATCTTCATAAGTGTTAATAGAATCATTAGCCTTACATATAGTGTTTAATATAATGATGCACATTATACTGGGATTCATTCCTTATTCATCTAATTATTATAAGATTTACAACCCCACGAAAATTTAAAATTTTGTCAAAAATAGTGAATGTACCTTTCATTTTAATCACTAAAAATATAAATACAATCTGAATATGAATCTTTGCAGATGAAACCGCTTGCATATTCATATATTTTTGTTCAAATCACAGCTCATCTTCAGATTGTTTTGGCAAACTCATCACTATAAACACCAACCAATAAAGTATTCTGAAACACTATTAACTTATCATCGCTTCATAATTTTTACCTTTCAATTGAAATATGCTATAATCTACTGGTTATATCACGATCACATTAGTACCATTGCTATATTAGCCTAAATGGAGCTATAACATATACATTTTTCATCTTTATGTGAAAATTATAGCACCAATTAAAGATTTTATCATAATTTTCTAAAGAGAATATGAGATTCTAATCTTAAAACCCATAAATATAGCATGTCTTATTATTTGAAAAATATATAACTAAAATTACAAAGATTTATATTAATAAAATTAAATTAAACCTTCCAAGACAAAACATTGTCACCATTTCCTCTTACAAAGATGAATGCAGGCTTGACATGCGAAATCAGCTTCAAAACTTTTTTATAAAGTTTTGAAGTCATTTGTCGTGAGGGAACAAAGAGAGTGCATATAATAAGTGCAGCATCACTACTTTGCATATTGATCAAATCGGAAAAGACCAAAAATATTTTATGCTTTTGATCATATTGCATATTTTTCGTTAATCCATTCCAATAAGATCTTGTTTTGAATGAAGGCGGATATTTCTTCTCATTGAGTTCAACAGTTATAATTTCTGCTTCTATTCTAAATCTATCAAGTAGATGACGACTTCTTTCTTCAGCTTTTGCATATGTATCGCCGTTATTTGAATATACAATTGTAATAAGTCTAAGGCGTTTGTTAAGGCTTTTGGATACTATATATGAGACTAGCAATGTTAAACCACCATCATCAAATAGCCAATAAACATCGATATATTCACTATCTCGAATAATATAGTATGGTCTTGTTGCCATAATTAGATTGAAATGCGCTTCAAGGACTTCATTCGTCATGAAATAAATTTCATCACTTGATCGAACATCCATGTCAATGAAAATTGTATTTGGTCTGAATGCACCAAGTCCACTCAGAAGCATCAGCTTGTAAAGTGCGTCAACAGGACCTTTTGCGATCGTAATATCATAGAATATTTGATGTTTGTCTGCATAAAATTGTTGCAAATTGTTTCTCCTATCAATTGCATATTTAAGTCCTTTGTCTTCTGAAAGTACCTGATTTACAATACAGAATCCATCATTTCCTATGAGAAGTTTAATAAATCCAAGTGCACACCACTCAAATTTTTCATCCTCTTTTACAACTGTTAGCAAATTTATTCTGAATAATTTTGGATTATTTTTAATTCTCTGAGTTTTCAGGCAATGCGTATATGCTCTATAAAATGCTTGTGCTTGTAAAACTGATCCCCAATTCTTATCAGAGCCTTTGTATATGCTATAGAATAACAAAGATAAAAATATTACCCAATTAATAATTGAGCTTTGCCAGCTAATCATGAATTGCAAAAATAGTGTTAAGAATAAACCTAATAAACTTATATATGGATGCCAGAACTTAGTCTTCGGTCTCCAACCTGGAATATGAGAATTACTTGCTACAAACACTGAAGAATTAATTACAAATGACATGGTTAAGAACAAGATTGTATTTATATTAGCTGCAAAATCTAAGTTTCCAATACCAACAAAGATAGCTGTAATTATCAAAGGAATCCATAAATCGTAGTTGAATTCAAGCTTTGGAATTAATTCGTCTTTTGCTAAATTAGTTAATAATGATTTTTCATAGCCAACATTTGCAACAGATCGATGAACACAGAAAACAACAATTGTTATGAATCCAATCCATTTGCTTACATTAAATTGTATGATAGGAGATACAATTCCAGATTTCAAGAAATCTCTATCACCTACAAATCCTAAAACTATAATTGTTATATGCCAAACTAACATTGATAGTAAATAAGCACTCCACAAACCTTTCTTGATCATCTTTGGAGGTTTTTCAAGTCTATGAGCATTTGCAAAACATCCTGTTAATGCGGTAAATCCTGGCATAGTTGCATAAATATGACCCATAAATTTATGAAGGGTCATAGTGCTAAGACTATTGTTCTTAAAGTTTGCTATGCTTGCTCCATTGAATCCTTCAATAGAGCCTGGTTTCTTTACGAAACAACCGATTAAGAAACACAGAAAACCAATCAAATGAGATGTAGCCGTGATACGCAGAGAATAAACAACGAATCTACATAAAAATACAGCAGCAATTAGAATAATGAATCCTATAACTCTTATATCATTTCTTTGGGTCTTTGTGAAATATTTTGGCTCATACATGTCAACAATTGTTTCAGCCAAACCGATAATTGCAGCACCTGCACTTAAACAAGTTGACATATCAAGGAATATTGTGAAACATCGGCCAAGTTCGGGACCAATAGTTCTAGAAATAACATAGTGTATACCACCACCTGTTATCTCTCCATTTGTCGCCATTGCCGTCAGAGATGAAATTAAAATTACAGAAATAATACTAGAAACCCATATAATAGCTAAGGAATATACAACACCACAGTCTCCAACAAGTTTTCCAGCACGATTCCAATATGTCATACCCATCAAGAAGACAATAATAGGCAAAAATACACCAAGAAAAGTTGACATTTTTTGGACTACTGGGGTGGAGAGTTCTTGCTTGGAAACGATCGGCTTCTTAGTTACTTCACGGATATCAGAAATTTGTGGTCTAGATACATTTTTTCGATAGAAGATTGTAGCAGGTCCAAAATCATGCGGATCTAAAAAGGTGGGAGGAGGTGTTGATGTGCTCACACTAACCTCTGAAACTTCTTGGTCCTTTGATTCTTCTTCTTCTGGCAAAAGTTCATCAAGATATTGTTCTTCCAATGACATAAATGATTTTTTCAATGGCATCAATCATCAAATTATTATCTAAAATGTATTCCCATATTACTATTTTAAGAGTTATTGAGCCCCATAAAATTCCGATGAAAATTTAGTTTGACGATAATTTATCTCATCAAATATCTTTTAGATTCTAATCATATAAAGTAAAAAATATCATTTGCTTGATTGAGGTTTTACTATTATCGTTTATTGACAAGCAGTCCAGCATTTCGAAGTGATTTATGAAATTAATTCATATATTTTGAACATGATATCTCATATGATAAAGAATAAAATTAACTGCTTAGAATCGAATTTTGAACATGATTTATTATTGAAATTATTTGATCATTGAATTTTCGGCGATTTAATTGGATCAATCCACAGTACCATATAACCAAAATTGATATATGATATTAGTTTAAAAATGATTAAAAATTACAACCGAAAATGGTCAAAAGTAAGTCACGAAAATATGAAATTTAGATAGCTAATTTGATTTAATTAAAGACGGCGAAAAAAGTGCAGCAAGTTTGTATTATAAAGTACTCACAAAATCTAGATTGAGAGGCGGTCAATGACTTTTGAGGGGAAATTAACGCATGGAATTTAATATTATTTAGGTTGATATTCTTGCTTATTATTTCAGAAAAAAATCTTAAAAATTTCAATATGAAAATTGAAAGCAATTCAAAAAAATTGCTAACATGTAAATTTTAATATCCTATGCATAATTTCATATTTTGAACATTTTTTATTTTTGTTTAAAACTTAAAATTTTGCGAATTTAATATAATTTATAAAATATAATACGTATATATATTTAAAATACACTAAATTTAATTGTTAATTGACGTTTTTGGGAATGAATTTTATCAAAACATGCCTGAATCCGAAAATTTGAAAGAACGAATTACACAATCATATATGTAGAATTCAAAATACAAACTTAAAGATTGTATACGTTTAAAATTATTCAGATTGTGTTTGATTTCCACTCATTCTGTTTCTTTTGAACTCTAACACTAACATTTCATGATGATTACATGATCCATTTATACATGGTTGAATTGTTCCAGATTCTACCAGAAAATCAATCCAAATTTCTCAATGCATTCATGTTGATTGGACAAAATTTAAAATTTATCAGCCTGTTTCCAGAGAAACTCATATATTCCCTAATGAAATGTAATTTTTGCTACATTTATTTCAATCAAATTTCAAAAAATTGACTGCAGAGCTTGAAAAGGTGATGAATCATGTTGTTATTAGATGTACATATTAGATTTACTATTTCCAAAAAAATGCTCAAATTTGAATAGTTTTTAGAAAATTTGGAATTACACTCCTTACATTATATATAATTAAATGTTTAAATTTTATTTATTTTTCCCTTTTAATTTTATAACGTGCTCTATCAAAACTAACCTCTCAATTGAAGGCCACAAAATCTAAGTAGTGAGGGTACACAAATTTTGTATGGAGTACGGTTCAATTTTTGAGAGCCTCACTACTTAGATTTTGTGACTACCTTATATAGCGCGTTCTATCGGCGCGCAGCTTCGTTGCGCGCCGATATAAGCTGATAATTGTTCAATTTTTGAAACTATTATTTAATAATAACTATCTTGTCATTAAAAAAAAAAAGGTAATGGGGCTTCCAGGGGCTACGCCCCTTCTAGCCCCTAAGAAATTTTTGAGAGTCGTCACTTTTCTGTCACTTTTCAGGAAAAAACATTTTTATTATATATATAAAATGAATTTTACAAAACCACCGTTACCCTTCTTTGGAAATAAGAGTAGATGTAAAGATATTCTATTGAGAGAACTTAAGAAACTACCGAATGTCTAACATTTGTAGATTTGTTCGGTGGAAGTTTCTATATATCTCATTTGTGCCATACCGTATTTCCAAACTCAAAGATTATATGCAATGACTTCGACAACTATATGAACCGTCTCAAACATATACCAGACACAAACAAAATATTGAGTGATTGAAAGAAAAGATACCTATAGGCCAAGATGGAACGTTATACCATTAGATAAAGAAAAATACTGTCAGAGAGGTTTTGAAAAAAGCAGAGTATATTGACTGGGATAGTATATCTTCTAGACTATTATATAGTGGTGCTATAAGAGTTCATGACATTGAAACACTTATGTCAAACGTTTTATATCTTAACTATACAAAGGTTTTCAAAGAGAACATAGAAAAATATACTGAGGGTATAGAGTTTGTGAGATGTCATTGGACAGAGTTGTATGAAAATATAAAAACAAGGAAAATGTTTTCTTTATAGTAGACCCGCCGTTCTATAACACATATGATTTTCAATACCAAGTAGACTGGACTTTGAGAGACTCTTTAGAAACTTTAGACGTTTTACAAACCATCCATGCTTTTACTTTACATCCGATAAAAGTGGTTTGGAAAGTGTCATGAGATGGTTAGAGGATATACATGACTATGATTTTAGATACGATAAGATAGAATATGAGAGAGGTCCTATAAACCGGAAAAAGTGTCACAACAAAGAAATTTTATTGGTAACTAAATGTGGTTTGAAATAGGACTACTTGTTTTAGTTTTTTCCATTGTGTCATTTACTTATTTGACGTGCAGAAAGATAAGAGAATATGAAGATGAACCAATACCAGCAAATGTTCAGCATATGTACTCGTAAGAGATATTTTTATCTAATATTAAATGGACGCACAGAACTTAGCGAATGCACAGCAACCTGGACAACCAAACCCAGAGAATATTCCAAATGAAGTATAGAATACAAACTGCAATGGCAAACTATGGTCAAGTGCCAACAGATGTACAAATGCAAACTGCCATGTCAAATGACGCTGCGTTAGGTTTGCCACCATGGTATGCAAATATGAGATGGAAAGAGTTTTATACAAACCCTGAAGTGGGATATAAACAACTCTATGCAGATGACGCGAACACAGGAGTTGACCCAGGTATGTTTTCTACCAGAGGAGAAATAGAATGTATGAGCTCCAGTTAAAGAATGCAATGGAACTCAACAGGAAACGTAAGAGACTAGGTGGACATTAGATTTTTACATATAGTAAAATGGGTTTCTTTGGAAGAATAGGAAACTTCTTTCGAAATGTTGGAAGAGGTATATGGAATGGAATAAAATCTGTCGGAAGAGGAATTTGGAACGGAGTCAAAAAATATTGGTAAAAGAGTAGGTCAGTTCGTTGGTATTATACCTAAAGACCCTGAACCAGAAGAACAAGCTCCTGTTATACAACAGCCTGAACCTGCACCACAGTCTAGTTGGCAACCAAATCCAACACCTCAACCGTATTAAAAAATTATATTTTTACCGTTCGATAGTAGTTGTATATGAAACTAAGTTCTAAGTAAAACGCATGTATAATGGAATTATTCTCTTTCTTCCATCTGTAGTAAACCATACTTGAAAGTCTGAAATACTTCCACTCGCGTTCATATAGCTTTGTAGGTTTTTCGTAAAAGTCATTTGCCAAGCATAAAAAAGAGTTTGTGCACCAGAAAATGAAGCATGAACTATAATAGCATCTGAGTCGAAAACATTTTCATATGTTCCATTAGGGTTTTCGACTTCATAAAAGTTCGGGTGTACTGGATATTCTGCAGGCTGATTTAACATCCTCAAAAATCTATACCATGCCAAGTTTTATATTTTGTAGAAATATAAACGTCTTCTCCAAGGTCTTCTATTCTATTGATTTTAACAGTTGCATTTTTCCTGTCATATAAAATATCGAGATGGTACTCTCCTTCGTCAATGTTGTACTGTTTTGCATATTCGAGATAGATATCGTTTATTTTTTCTTGAAAAGCTTGAAGAGTTGTTTCTAAGTTTACAAGCAAACTAACTTGTAAAAGTTTTCCCTGTACAAATTTCTCATACGTACGTTTTTCTTTGTTATAGTATCGAATTTCAAAAGCGACCGTAAATGGGAAACCATGTATGGCTTCTGAAATGAACTTCATTCTACGAAAGCCAATAGCTTTTGTGACGGATGGGTCTCTTAACCATCTTAGTGGGTAGTCAAAACGATAGCCTTCATGCTTTACGGTCTCTGTCTCAAACTTTTGACCGACATTCGTAAAAAGTTCATCTAATGGTTTAGTTGTAGCAACTCTTGAATTTTCTTTTTCTATTGAAAGCATATTTTATCTAGAATAAAAATGTCGAATGTAACAGCGTCTATGAGAGAAATACAACACAACCGACAACTCATTATACAAGCTCTAAATAAGAACACAACAAACTTTTCAAACTATTCTAAGATATCTGAGTCATTGAAAGAAGGAAACTTAAAACTGACAATGAACCCAATGACAGATGAGTTTCTGTTTCAAGACAACAAGAACCATACTGTTTGTATAAATCCAACAAAAGGAACTTTAAACGAGAAACCTATAGATGAACTTCTTTTGAAAGCAGATATTGACAACAAAGCTGACAAAGAGTATGTCATTGAAAAAGTTCAAGAAGAACATGACAGAGCAGATGCAACATATGCAACGAAAGAGGATGTTGAAAAGAAAGCTGACAAAACATATGTTGACGATGAGTTAGCATATGTGGCTAGTGCGTTAGTGAAGAAGGCAGATAAGGAATATGTGGATGAAAAAGACAATGAAATTATAGAAAGGGTTGAATGGTACCATGAACGGACATCGAAGATTTTAAAAACTAAAGCTGATACAGGATGGGTTTCAGGGTGTTTAGACCTTAAAGCTGACAAAGAAACTGTAGATATGTTGACACAAACGGTTTCAAGTCATACCAGAGGTTTAATGGAAGATGGACAACAGTTGAAAGAGCTTGAGAAAGGTGTTACAGAGTTAAGGAATACAAAAGCAGACTCGACATGGATAGCTGGATATGTAGATGCAACAAAAGAGTATATTTTCGCATGGACAGAAGGAACATACCCACAAAAACATCATACACATAGCATCTCTGACGTAAATGAACTTCAAGAAAAGTTAGATAAGAAAGCTGACAAAACAGAGCTTCAAACGTTAAAGACTGAAATACTTCAAACAGTATATCCTATAGGTTCTATTTATACGTCAATGAACTCTACCAGACCAGAAGTAGTACTTGGTCTCGGAACTTGGACTCAAATAGTCGACAGGTTTTTGTATTGTGCAAACTCTTCAAAGGAAACAGGTGGAAGTAAAACGATTTCAGGTGAAAATTTACCTGCGCACAGTCACTACATAAATTTAAGTACATCTGAAGCAGGTTTGCATAGGCATAAATATTGGGCTTGGTCAACAATGACAAAAGGTAAAGGATATGATGTTAAAGACGACGTTCAGTTTGCTATAAATGGTTCCTGGGATGACACTTGGAGAGAAGGAGACCATACACATCGCGTTTCAGGGTATACGCAAACAACGGGACAAAGTAAAGACTACATGCCACCTTACATGACAGTTTACGCATGGTATAGAATTGCTTAGTCGTCATTTTCAACTTCTTTAGCATATTCGTCAGGAGTTGTCTTATATTTGTTAGGAACTGTCTTTGAAAATATACCACCTTGAACTTTGACAAGTTTGAAACGAGGTCTGACAATAGTAGTTTTATCTTCTGCTTGCAGTCTGTACATTTTGCCATGTTTGCCTAAAACTTCATAATATTCTCTTGTATACTTTCTTCTATTTTTACGAACACGAACGTGAGTACCTGTCGAGTTCCCATTGTTGTCATAGTCAATAGTATTTTCATATGGGTCGCGTTTAGGTATTTCTATTTTTACTTTGTCACCTTTCTGAAGTTTGAAGCCCGGCATTCTTTCTTGTTTGTCTCTTTTGACTAAATTGTTAAATATATAGTCTTTCTCTAAGTCGGGGTTGTTTTTCATTTCTTCGGGGGAGTGGTTTCCCAAACCTTTTTGTTTACGGCTATTGTAAATATTTAAAACTTGTCTCATCTTTGCCATGGAGAAGTGTCTATACTTGTCGTCATATGACATTTCATTTGCTTCACCACCTTGTGGTTGATTTAAGTCTCTTAAGATTTTTATACAACTGTCAATGACACCAAGAGCAGAATGGTTTTGGTCGACAATGAAATATTGGTTTACATTTTTTGAACGCAGATAGTTTTTAATATCGTCTGATTTGAAAGAACTTTCATAGTCAGATGTCAGTTTTGTTGGATGGTATTTGTCAACGAATATTGTCAAAGCAGTTTTCACATCTAAAATATTTTTTGGACCATAATGGTATGGCTTCACAGTATCTTGTGTTTTGACCGACAAATATTAGCCAGTATGGTGGTCCATCTTCTCTATACCTCGGAATGTTTTCCAAGATATCCATAAACCAAGCATTTGGTGTTGAACTAAAGATTTTTACCATGAGTGCTTTCTTTGTCGCTTTAGAAACATACGGGTCCTTGTTTGAATTCGTCATTTTTAACCCATAAGAAATGGGTTTATTTGGCGCATTAGCAGGAGTCGCATCTAGATTTTTGCCCGCAGTGGGAACACTAGCCAGGTGCATTTGGAATTGGAAGGAAGATTTTGAGTACATTAGGTATACTGAAAGAGAAAGCACAACCTATTATACAAACTGTACAGAAAGGTTGGGAGGTAGCACGAGATGCAGCAAATCTTATTCCAAATCCTGAAACAAGAGGAAAAGTTCAAGGATGGATGGACAATGTAGGAAGACAAGCAGGAAACTATTATAACAAAGCAAATGACTACTATAACCAAGCAGGGCACTATATGGACCAAGGTGAAAGATTCTTTAACAGAGGATATAACCATGCACAACAGTGGGTAAACAACAACCAACCTCAACCGCCTCAAACGTGGGGAATGTAAAATTTTTTACTGAGATGAAATGAACAATACAGCATTGAGACAAATGGGCTCAAGATGGATTTGTCGGCTTCCAGCAGTTACACCACCACGTGTTTGTCAAGTTCTTCCTATACCTCAGGAAGTTTTAGACCGACTTAAAAAACCTAAACAACCAGTTGAAAACAAACCAAACTAAAATTTTTTACTGAGATGAAATGACCGAAGAAGTTGAAACGGTAGATTTGACACCACAAACAAAAAGTTCAGAACCATTGTCAAAACCTGTCAAAGAACTTACAGATGAAGAGAAAAATTCAATAATAGAAAGTGCCAGGTCTGGAAATACAAACTCTAACTACAAAGTCACTTTTCATAAAAATGGAACGGCTAGTATCTCAAAAAAGAAACAGACTCTCACAAATAAAATATTGAAGTCTGAAGGAGCTTTCGAGACAACAGATGGGAAAGTATACTTCACTGACCAACAGTTCATTATAGAACATCTCATTGACTTAGAGTCGAAATATTCTAAACTTTACAACAAACACAAAAAGTTGAAAGGAAAACAAAAACAAATGGCATATGATATTTATGAAGATGTTGACGACACAACTGTTCCTGCAAGTGAAGTAAAGTCAGAGGAACCGAAAAGTGACGAAAAACCAATAGAAGAAGAAAAACCAAAAACTGAAGATAAACCAAAACCAAAGTTTAGTCTGGAGACTAAACCAAGTCAACCTTCATTAGCTGGTATGGGTTGGCGTCAAAGACTTATGGCAGCAGGTGGTTATGTAAAGTAAAGGAAAAACATTTTTTTATTTTTATAGAAATGCCCCCATATAGAATGGACAGAAGGTCTGCTAGAATAAAAGCAGAGTTAGAAAGATATGGTTGGAGAGTTTCAAAGAAGTTTAAATATAGGAAGGGAAGACCCATAAAAGTCTATGACAAACTATCTGGTCTTCGCTACGAAATGGACCTGGAAACAGCACGCGCAAATTATCCAAACAGACTAGAGAGGTTAGAAGAAGAACGTCTTATGGACATGCCTTTCGATGTTACTGAACCGCAAGTTGAAGGACACGACGGCTTTGCCAGATTCTACTGGAAACATGACGAACAATTGCATCCTTTGAGGAGGAAAAAAGGAAAAGGTGAAGACGCACATGCTCCCATGGAAAGAACAAGATATGCATATGAAAAGTATCGTGAGGTTAGAAGTAAAATTACATCTGGTCGAACCTTTACAGTAAACTTTGACAAAGGAAAGAACAAAGAAGGCTTCATGGGAGTACTTGCTGCAATTCAAGACGGAAATAAGAAAGGACACAATCTCAGATTGACCATAACAGATTTGGATGGTCACATTTACTATGCACATGGCAATGTCACAACAGCCGCACAACTTCTTGACGCTTTCAAGACTACAAAGAGAGAACAAATGGTTGACTCCGACTCAGACATTTTGAATGCAATTGAAGGAATTGCAAGTGTCAAGTTCGAATGGTACCAACCTAACCCTCAAGCAGTCAGACAACATGCTGGATACTTCCCGTTCATAAATAAGTCTGACATTGACTTGACAAGGTATGGAATTTACAATTCAATTGAAACAATTGTCAATGAACCTTGCATTCTTACATGTCTCAGGAACTCTGGTCTTGTTACAGATGAGAAAATGAAGTATCTTGAGTCATGTGTGAAGACAAGGTACATTCTCAGAGGTCAATTGCAAAGATTGCACCGTTGGCAAATGTCAATATCCGCGTCAACATACCGACTGAGAAAGGTTCTTCACATGACGACTATGTTGTTGACAAAGACTTACCATGGTTGAAGATTGTACTTGTCCACAACCACTTCATGTTGAACGAAAGTCTTACAAACCCATTGTTCGGAAAAGGCAAGTGCAACATTGTCAGAGCTGTTAACATTCTTTTCGAGAAAGGCTTGTTGGAACCAATTCCAGATGACAAGCTGACAGAAACTTTTGTACCAAAAGACGAAACAAACTTTTCATTGTTAGCAAGACCAAAAGTTGTTCCAGACAAAGTTATAGCACAAAAGAAGTACACAGTTCCAAAAGGAGTTGGATTGTTCGGATACCAACCTGAACCAGAAGAACTTCCAATGAGGTTGCAAGAACTTCAAGATGCTATAAACAAACTTCCATTGAGACATCCAATTGACGTCAAATTGTATTGGAGAGCATCTGAGCTAGGTCAGAAGGTTTTATATGAAACAGGTTGCTTCGACGATGTTTATGAGATAACAGGAGAAGTTTCTCAGAAGATAAGAGACTCACTTGAATTTCCACGAACTGGACCCATTGGTTGCGACAAGTTCGACTCAAACGAAAAGATATACTATGTCGACCTTAACGCTGCATACATGAGGTTTGTCCAATATATTCCGACTGGAATTCCAAACGAAGACGGTGAGTTCCCGGGAAGGAACTATACAGTTGGAAAGGTCATACAACAACTCTATGATATTAGGAAAGCTTCAAACCCCAAACTTGCAATGACACTCAAATTGCTTATGAATTCGACATGGGGATATTCCATTAAAAAACCTCAAAAGATGAAGAGTAAACACTATGAGAAGGTCGACAACTTTGTTGAAAGGTTTTCTCCTTTTGTTTTGAAGTACGAGTTCACCGAAGGTCAAAATGGCTTAGTAACCACATTAAAACCTATTGTCGAACATTGGTCCTATCCTCAGTTCGCAAAGGCAGTCCTTGACAACTACAACAAATTCTTCTCGGAAGTTAAATCCAAAGTGAAGGTTTACTATGAGAACATCGATGCGCTCATGACGAACGAAGAAGGATACAACAAACTCATTGAAATGGGAATGGTCGGTGAAAAGATGGGCTGTTTTAAGCTAGACAAGGTATTTTCCGAAGTTCATGTAATATCGAAAAGGAAGTACTGGGGAATACTTGAAGACGGCACAGAAATAAAACATTGCATGAAATAAAACATTGCATGAAATAAAAACGTTTTTAAAACAGTATATTTTTACATATATTAAATGCTTCAGGTTGAAAAACAAAGAACAAAAGTAGCAGATACAAAACCGTTAGACTATATCTTTACAAACGCTGGTAGGACTATATCAGATGAAGAAATTTTATCCCGAACTTACAGGTTTGACTATCCAATTCGTTGGCTTCAAAGTCCTTCAGATGCAAAGGCAATAGGATTTAGAAGAGTTTTGTTTTCAAATAGAACTAATGCATTCATGTTCGCAGTATATTTTCATGGCCAGTATAAAGGCTCTGATGGTCTAATAGAAAAATTTGACGAAATGAAAATCTTTACAATTCGTTCAGACGAAAGTCTTGAAAAAACTCTAAATGACTTTCAAACTCAAATAAACAAATACTACTGGGAATTTCAAGAAAAATACGACTCTTTACTAAATGGAACATACTATCTGAAGCTAGAATACGACAAGATGAACTCCACAGTTTCATTTCAAAAGATTGAAATTAACCCTCCAAGAGATACAGAGTTTTTATATTGGGGGGTGGACAAACGTTCTTGGGCGCAATTTCTTCGGTTACTAAACCAGAACGAACCATTACCACCAGATGGTCCATTTAAATTTATACTTCCACCAGCAGATTTGACAGTTTATAGAAACGTGTTTGACCCTCAAAATGTCATGTGTCATGCAAGTTTCAGTTCAAGCAACAACAGTTTTCTGTGTATCGGTAAGGACTTTTATGACTTTGCTTCTAAATTCTACGAACCACCTAGTAACAGTTTCTCTGACTTTCAAGTTTGGTTCACAACAAACGGTGTGCAGCATATAATTCCATTGTACTATGACTTTTATCTCGAATTGTCTTTCATATACAACTACGGAAAAGTGCTGAAAAAGTATTGAAAAATGAGATGTTTAGGTTAGATGGTTTTAGGTGTCACTACGTCACCAGGTCCCTCGGTCCCTCGGTCCCTCGGTCATTTTAACTTCTCTGAAAAAGTGTGACAACATGACATTTAGACAACAACACAGGAGATAGATTTCATCGTCAATGTTTTGTCATGAATTTCATCGTAAATGTTTTGTCATGAATTTCATCGTATTCTTTTCACCCGTTGAATTTTGTATAAAAAGCAACCCGCGGAATTCCGGCGGTTGGTATATTCTTCACAAAATGCTTGTTTTGAGGTCGAGCCACAAACGAATGTCCGACGGTTAAGCCACAAACGAATGTCCGACGTACCACCAAAAAATATTTTTTATTTTTATTGTAAGAACAGTATGACAGTCGAAGCAAAAACGTTCACGAACAAATCTAATGGCGAAACATTCACAAAAGGCACTTACAACGGTATTGAAGTCTTACGTAGAGACAAGGATGGTTATATAAATGCAACAAATATGTGTCAGCAGTTTAGGAAGGACTTTAGAAGGTTGTTGGAAAATAAGTCCTGGGAAGAGTACTATAAGGCATTTTGTGAAGAATATACCAACCGCCGGAATTCCGGCGGTTGCTTTTTATATAAAATTCATGCAGGAATTCCCGATGAAATCAAACAGGTTAGAGGAACGTATGTAGACCCAAGACTCGTAAACTATATAGCAATGTGGGCTTCTCCAAAATATTGCATAGCAGTTGGAAAAATTCTGGACTCCATAGACAAGAAAGTTCATGAGAAATTAGATGAAGAAGAACTTGAAGATACAGCAGAGAATGCTAAACCTTTGTTCGAACAAGAAGTTAGAAAAATGCATGAAAAACAAATAGAACATGAACATGAGATATGTTCTGGTTATAGAGACTCTCCATACGAACTAGACCAATGGGAACAAGAAGATTTAAAGAGAGAATTTAGAGAATATGAACTCGCTAAAGTTTCATTAGAAGCTGCAGAAGAGAGGTTAAAAGTTTGGGGTCGATTTGTACAAAAATATTGTGAGTAAATGAACCATTTTATTTTTATTGAATTCGGCAAAAATATATTTTAGGTTAGATGGTTTTTAGGTGTCACTACGTCACCAGGTCACCAGGTAATTTAAACTTCTCTGAAAAAGTGTGACAACATGACATTTTGACAACAACACAGGAGATAGACTTCATCGTCAATGTTTTGTATAAAAAGCACCCGCCGGAATTCCGGCGGTTGGTATATTCTTCACAAAATGCTTGTTTTGTTGAGACTTCATCGTAAATGTTTTGTATAAAAAGCACCCGCCGGAATTCCGGCGGGTGGTATATTCTTCACGAAATGCTTGTTTTGAGGTCGAGCCACTTTTGGCTCCACCTGTTTTTTCAACCAAAACTCATTTTACTCAGCAAAAATATATTTTAGGTGAAGTGGTGAGATCTCACCTGTTTTCTCACCTCTTTTCTCACCTCTTGAATTTTCATGAATTTTCCCGAAATAAAAAAAGTTAGTTTTTTTAAAAAAAATATTTTTTATTTTTATTGTAAGAACATGTTAGCAACAACTTCACCAAACTCGTTAGTCATGAACCCAACTTCAATGTTAGTAGAGATGAAAAGCTTCATTCCTTCTTCATATACTTTCGAAACAGAAATCCAGAAGATAAAGCAAGAACTTCTCCAAGGAGATTTAGACTGTAGTGCAAAAGATGAAACAAATGAAGAATATCTTTATGAAATGCAGGATATTATTGACCATCTACCTAAACTTCCTGAAATACAACAACAAAAGCTTACTATTCCTGAATTCGATGAAATAGAAGTCAAAGCAACTGACTCAGTAGAAACCAAGAAGTTCATACGTAAGGTAAACTATGAGTTTCTTGGATTTCATTGCAACCACAAAGTCATGGACAAAGATTGCGATATGTTATATAAGAACATCTCTGACATATACAAATCTGAAGAATTTAAGACCTACGACAACTTTGTTTCGTTAGTTGCAAAATGTGTATGGCAGATAAGAGATAAAGATAAAAGAGGTAAAGTATGGAACGAACAGATAAAACCAGCAACTTTTGAGTTAAAGAAAACCATTGACGCCTTAGTTGTACTTGCAGGTTTTATTTCAATGTACAATGCTAAAATGAACCCACAATGTTCAAAATGTAAAGCAGCAATGAGGAAATATAACTACTCCGTCAAAGAGATAGAACGTATGCGAAACGACTATGCAGATTTAAAGAAAGAAGCAGAGAAACCAGCAGAAGATAAAATGGACATGTTGACATTTCTAAACAAAAACTATCCAACAGCTGACGATTTCCTTCTATCTGATGTCAAGAAGAAATATAAAGAAACCTTCGGCATTGTTAAAACTTTTGACATACTGACAGAAGAAATAGAAGCTACAAAACTGTTTAGAATTTCAAATATACATCGTACAATTCATGTAAGACGCTTGTGAAAAAGAGGTGAGAAAAGAGGTGAGAAAACAGGTGAGATCTCACCTCTTCACCTAAAATATATTTTTGCTGAGTAAAATGACCAAATTTCATTATATAACTGTATTTTTTTGACGAAGAGAACTTTGACACTTCGTAAAAAAAATTCCTGAAATCGTGAAAAAATGACCAAATTTCATGAATTTCCTCATATGTTTGCGACCCTCGGAAAACCGAGGGTCGAGATTCCGTACGAAAATCGCAAAAAAACTCTATGAAAATCGTGAAAAATTGCGAGTACGTTAAAAACCGTAGTCGCCTAAAACTCATGAAAATCGTGAAAAAATGACCAAATTTCATGATATAACTGTATTTTTTTTACCAAGTGAACTTTGACACTTCGTCAAAAAAATCCCTGAAATCATATCTTTTATACAAGATAAAAAATAGCGTTAGTTTTTTATAAAATATTTTTTTTATTTTGTATGTAAGAACAGGAAATGACAAACACTGAGTTTGAAACAGTTAAAAAGATAGACAATGACACCAAAGTGGTTAGAATAGGTGATTTAAACGTAAGATACTCAAAGAAATACAACAAATATTCTTTGTCAGACATTTTAACACTATCTGAAGGAAAGAAAGCACACGACTGGGTTAGAAATGCTTCTACTCAGAAAATTTTGACAAAAAATCCTGAGCTTATGATATCGGTAAGATTCTATGGAACAAGAGCATATCTTATAGACAAAAGTCTTATACCAGTAGTTTTGTTCTGGATTGACCCAGTTGTTGGATATAATTTCATAACATATGGTTCATTCGATACTGAACGTTGCAGTGAAGGCTTAGTTTACATCGTTCAGAAACCGAAGGACTTCAATACAAAGAGATATAAGATAGGAAGAACATTTAATATAACTCAAAGATATGACAGTATAGTCAATAGAGTTAAGGTTGTGTTCGTTAACGATATGAGAGCTGCTGAAACAGAACTACTTGAAAAGTTTGAGAAAATGTATGGTGCTCCCACGAAAGGTAAAGAAACGTTTGAAGTAGATGAGATCGACAAAGCTATAAAATTATTTGACGAAGTTGCTGAAAAATACATGTAAAGCGTTTATTTTGGTCTTTTATACAAGATAGAAAATAACGCTTTTATTTTTATTTTATTTTTTATTTTGTATGTAAAGACAGATATGACAACAACAGAGAACACAACAACTGCTATCGTTCATGAAGCCATAAGTGAAGAATACGAGTGGGTTCAGTTTAACAAACAGTTACGTCTCATTCGTTCGGTCAAAGATGACATGTACCAAATGCAAAGTATTTTGACAGCGTGTTTTGCTCCAGATACCAAACATACAGACGATTGGTTCAAAAACCAACAGACAAAAGAACTTTTGAGCGAAGCACAGCGACCCCGACTTTTTCCGGGGTCGCCAAAACTCTATGAAAATCGTAAAAATTTGCCAAATGGTTTGAGAGGTTGGTATGTACATAGACTTCTTGTAAATGCTGTTGCAATGTGGGCTTCACCTCGTTATGCTTGGTATATTTTCATGATGTTAGATGAAATTCATAGACAAGAACGTGAAGAGATGGAAAAGAAACTTCAAGCAAAAGATGAAGTCATTGAATCCAAAGACAAAAACATACAGAAAAGAATACCACGTTCGGTACCAAAAGGAAAGGAAAAGAACTATAAGTATATGATTTACACTGAAGAGATGGAAAATGAAGAAGACAGAGATATGGTTATGTTGCATTTAGTCAGAAGAAACAACAAAAGCTTTTACGACCTTGCTAAGATTTACAAATCTGACAGAAATTGGTTCTATCGCGAAAACTTACCGATTTCAATGACACCGAATGAAGATGTTAAACAGATAGTTCAAGATACGTTACCTCAAACACACTATGATATGAAAGGTGTGTACAATACTTACATTCAAAGAAGACTTACCGCTACTGAAGGAAAAGATAACAGAGTATTTCGATAACTTCAAAGAGGAAGAGTAAATGAACCATTTATTTTTCAAGCTTGACACCAAAGATGGCTCAGGTAGCTCTAGATGGTAAATTGTCTTGTCCGAGTCCTTCTGGCATTCCGAGTCCTTCCTTCCAACAGGAAAAAAATTTCCTTCCAACAGGAAAAGTTTTTCCTTCCAACAGGAAAAAATTTTCCTTCCAACAGGAAAAAATTTTCCTTCCAACAGGAAAAAATTTTCCTTCCAACAGGAAAAAATTTTCCTTCCAACAGGAAAAAATTTTCCTTCCAACTGGAAAAAATTTTCCTTCCGACAGGAAAAATTTTTCCTGTTGTCCGTCCGTAAACCATTCAAATTTTCGAAAATTGAGAACTTTTTGGCCGACCTTCAGAAAAAGTTTTTCCTTCCGACAGGAAAAGTTTTTCCTTCCAACAGGAAAAGTTCTTCCTTCCGACAGGACACAAACGGATGGCTGACGTACCACCAACCGAGTCCATTCCAAAGCCAGAAGAACCGACAGCCCCAGCACCACAACAGACTAAGACTCAAACACTTACATTTTTACGCTTGACTTTTTACAATTTGAACTTTGTTTGCGTAGATATGAATTCTGAAAGAAGTATGAGGGTCTTGTATGACTTTGTACTTCTCCCATAGTTCATGTCTGTCAAACTTACCTGCCATGGACTCTTTCATAAGTTCCATGAAATCGTCTTCGGACAATCCGGGGAAAAGTATGATATCAGTAAGTATTCTCTTTACATCCTTACTTAAACTCTTTGCTGTCTGTACACAAATGACAACAGAGATGTTAAAGTGTCTGAGCTTCTTAAGAATTCGACACATGTCTTGTTCTCTGTTCTTTAACAAAGGATGAGAAGCAAAGTCGTCTAAGATAAGAAGACACCTATGAGGGTAAGTCTTCCAATCGTAAGATTGCAATTTCTTCGAAATGTACTCAATCTCTTTCTGTTTGTTTCTGAAGTGTTTCTTCTCTAATATTCTCTGCATTTCCTCATTTGGGTCTTTAAACTTCGAATTGACATACTCATTTATAGCATTGTACTTCAAAACTCTTCTTTGGTACTTCTTTATCCAATCTAACAACTCAGAGTCTTTTATACATACTAACTTAGACTTTTTTATAATATCTTTGAACGAATTGACGGTTTGGTCAAATTGACCAGAAGTACTACAAATGACTACTAACTCATAGAATGGGTTCTTCTCATCTAGTTCTTGTTGTTGTGCAGCCATTTTAAGATAAGTGAAAGTCTTACCCGACCCAGGTGGTGCGATTAGACCTGTTATACCATTCTGAGCAAATAGGAACTTGTCATGTATGGGTTTTATCTGAGCATTTTCCAACTTCCTCTTGTTCTTGTTTAAAACATTCTCAAATTTCTTGTCAATGTCAGCAAACTTTTTTTCTAACATATTTTTAGAAAAATTAAAATTTTTATCTTTTAGGAAATGTCTAGCGATTTCGCTATCTATATTCGAGACAAGCTTTTCGACAGCAAAACATCTGTAGACCATAAAATCTTACATAGTGTAAACAAGAAAGGTGAATTTGTTCTAAAGTTCTGTTTCTGGGAATATGACAAGAACCATAAAACCTTAAGCAGAGAAGTCTTAAAATTTGTCAATGACAGACTTGTTGACAGAGATGACGCCTCTTGGAGAGATGAAGTCCAACAAAACTTCTTAGAATGCAAAGAAGACACATGCGCTGTTCTTGAAAATGAAATAGAAAACAGAATAGAAGAGCTATTAAATGACAAAGCACTTTTACAAAAATATGGTTCTGAGAAGTTTGACATAACTCCACCAGAAAAGAAGAGAGGAAAAGAAAGAAAAGAAAGTAGAAGAAGAGAAGAAAGAACCAGAGCCAGAGAAAAAGAAATTTGACATGTAAAAATAAAATTTTATTTTTAGAACATTTCTGGGTCAATGTCAATGTTCTCTTCCTCTTTAGGAGCAAACACCGGCTTAGACTCTAAAATCTTTTTACCCAATTTACCTTGAACTTCAACTATCTTAGACTCATAATATTCATAGTCGTCTGCTTTCTTTGGTTCATAAGGTATAACAAGTTTGTATGCTTTGCCTTCTTTAAGGTTTGAGAACCTTCTGTCAAAACTTTCTTTGACTGTTAACAAACCTTCTATGTCTAAGTCTTCAAATTTCGCACCATTTTTAGTCACAATAGCAAACTTAACTGGTTCGATGTTCCAAACTTTGTCAAATGTAGACTTTTCAAAATGGTAGAAGTAAACATTCAAATATGTGAATGGGTCTAGTTCTTCTTTAAGTCCTGACATGTACTTGTTGACTGAGATGAATTTCGTCATCTTTTCTATCGGATAAAAAAAATATTTTTTTTTAAAATTTACTCAGAAAAATTTTTCTTTGTATATACACCATTCTGTACGTCTAAAAGACTTTTGACATTTGCCAAGAATGTTCGTTTAGACGCTGTCATATAACCATACTCTTGACAATACTGTTTATACGAATCGTACAATGACCTTTCATCTAAACACTCAAAGTCAGTTTCATCTATGAACAGTTCATATACACTCTTGTTTGCTTCTAACAATGTTTGTCTCTCTTCGGTATGTGGAATTTGTCTTGGATTGAACTTTGAAATATCTAATGTCATGAAATATGAGAACAAGTGGTTGTAAAAGTATGTCAAAGTTTCTGCTAAGTCGTCAAAATATTCTGTATCTTGCATATGAGCTTCTGACGTTCTGACAACTACATATCTTCTGTCAGAACTTTCTAACTTCATCGGAACGGCATTGTTTGAAACCATGATGAAATTTGCAACATTTTCACAAACTCTTTGGTCTTTATATTTTCTTTCAACAACTCCAACTTTGTCTGTTATAAGACTCTTCAAAGCATCTGAGTTTAAAACCTTTGTTGTATCTATACTTTGAAGTTCGTTACATACTATAAGTTTCATATTCTCTATTGAAGAGTTAAATTTACCGCAGATGTTTTCTAAGTTTGTCATATTA